TCAACAAAACCTCCATAACACATTGATAATATTTGTAAGGTGTTCCATTACCTACTCGGAGGGAAAAAACAGTGTTATAAAATAAAAAAACTCACCTTTTTGATAATGTCACAGAGGACGAAAACGCCCCAGCTAAGATAAGTTTTTCCTTTTATATATATATATATATATATATATATATATATATATATATATATATATATATATATATATATAAATGGAAAGGTAATAAATCGTTGATATATAATCCAAGTGGATCCAAGTAATATAAAATGTTAAAACTGATCCACGAAAATTAATTTATGTATTAACTTATATATATATATATATGGTGGATTCTCCTGTTGTATTCGACGTATGAGAGTCAAGCAGCTCAGTTCCTAGGAATCGACAGCCCAGACACCAACATATATGATTTGATTATAATGGTGTAGGCTTTGTGCAGAACCAACCACACTTTTTGAAGGGCCGAATACAGAGACCTGCTGCACTACGTGCCACAAGGTCCCCAAACGACCCTCCGCAGGTTTTGAATTCAGAGTTGTCCTTCTCCTAAAGAAATTGCCATTCCAAGGCTATAGAACCCAGTCTGTCCTGCTATTTACCCATAGCTGGAGGTAGAAGAAGACGATTAATATCTTTCCCACGAATATTAGTACGTAAATAAATGTAGTGGATTCGACTGGAATTCGAACTCGGCTCTCCGATTCCTCAGTTCGAGCCGCTATGCACTACTCCACTGTGCCTCCTTATGGGCGCGTGACCGAGTGGTTAGAACGTTTGCTTTTTGACCAAGAGACACGTGTTCGAATCTCCTCATTGTCAGAATGGAGACTCCCTGATGTTATCAGTCTGGAGGGGGGCGATCCCAGCATGCAGCACCTTTGGAAAGTGCCTGAAAAACCATACCACGGGTTGACCCAAGCCTTGTGTGTGAAACTGGGTAGACAGAACTTTAGGGGGGCCGTCGATAGCTATGCTAGCACGAAGTCACAAGTCATCGTGACCGAGGGTTTCCGTGTGCTGGTGTTGTTCAGATTGTCGATCATTCTAGATAACACGCTCTCTCCCAGAAACTGTAACTAAGGTCTGCTCAGCATAGTTACAGTATAAGCCACAGGTTGGCAAAGGTGCCTGAGCGAGAGTCTGCAATAGGGATTGGCTAGCTGTCCTCGTAGACGGGTATCCTCGTATACGAGTAGCCAGCTATTATATATATATAGAGAGAGAGAGAGGGGAGGGGAGGGGAGAGTAGGGAGGGGGAGAGTGGAGAGAGTAAAATTTCACCATATTTTTTTATGTTTTTCTATTTTATTTACTTTTTATAAGTTAGTATTTTATTACCAATCAGATTAATTAAGCGGAAGGTACACATTAGCGCAGAGTTATGAGGTGGGGTGGGGACACAAAGAGAAACACACAAAACATGACAGAGCTTGTAGTAAAGTGAAAATACTTCAAAAGATTTTTTTTTAAAAAGTAAAATCCATGAGGCATATATATATAAAGAGGGAAAAAAAAAGTGAATGTTGAACTGTTTACTGTTCGGATGATCAAAGCTCAGTATATATATATATATATATATATATATATATATATATATATATATATATACACGTACACATACACGCAGAGTGCGATGGATGAATTGCCGTCTAAATTACGCAAAAATGAAAATAATACTGGCATCTCATTTTAACACATATATTTACAAAAATTACACAAAAATACTTTCAAATACTAAAGAGTAAATTTATCCAATAAAATCGTCATTGGCTTCAACCACTGCCTCCAAACGACATCAGATTCTCCAGCAACACTTCTGGACGGTCTCCCTGTTTACGTTGGTGAATGTTGCCATAATCCTTGCCTTCAGTTTATCTTTGGTGTTACAAGGAGTTTTGTTGGTTCCTCATTCAGCTGCACTTCACACATAATAACCAAGGGGGGTTGCAGTCTAGGGAGTTAGGTGGCCAGATGTAAGGGGTGATGCGGTTGCAGAAATTGTCTGACAGCCATGACTGGGTTCTCCTGCTTGTGTGGCATGGTGCAGAGTCCTGTTGCCAGACATTGGGCCTTCCAGCAGCCACTCTCTTGGTC